ATGGATGGATGGATGGATGGAAAGTGGAGTTTCATTATTCACAAATTCAAGCCTGTGAGACTCATTTAGACACTGATGGACAATGAGTTTGACACCCCTGCTTCACACTGTTCATAGGGAGATGTTCTCTGTTTTCACATGTTATATATAATCATGTACTTCAAAGTTTTCTCACACCTTTTTGTAACCTGAAGAATGTTTTGGAAACCATGAAAAATCATCAATACGAACAACAAACACAATCTTAAGATGGAATAAATACTGTGTGTAAAATGTATTTTTACCTGATTAGACCAGCTATCCAGCCAAAAGTCACTGATGCACCATTTAATTTGATCATTTAAAGTAATTTGTGAACATGTCCTTGTTGTGTAGAAACATGTCATCCAGTAACTGTATGGAAGACATACGGATCCTCTGTTATTCAGTGCTCATTAAACCATCATTGTTTCTCCTCCTCCTACTCCTCCAGTTACTACAGTCTTCACCCAGAGATCATGCTTTCTTCCAACTTTGAACAACTTGAGTTATTTCTAATATATATTTGTTTGTTGACTCACCTTTATTTCCCCAAAGATTTTATTTAAAAAAAAAAAAACACTCCTGCATGATTTAAGTAATAAAATCTTTCATCAGTTTATAAATTGTAACACTGCTCATGTCCTGTCATCAGAGGCATACTGGATTGATGCCCTTAAAGTCACCAGTTATCCTGATCTTAATGAGGGCTGATTTCAATTTTTATAGTCAGTATCTTTGTCCTGTATTAGTGACACTGTTTTTTTAAAATGACCTGACCTGTAATGCTGTCTGTGAACTGTCAGTGCTGTATGTTTAATATTACTGTGGCTTCAGTGAATCTGTTTTACTGTTCATAAACTTTTACATCTTCTGTTTACAGTCATTGGTTAGACAAGCGCTTTTAGCAGCTTATGAGAGGAGAATGTACTTCCTGAACAACATTGCTCCCTAGAGGCTGAAGACAGTAATGCATATATCATGTTGTTTTTGATTTTCCGTTTTTGCTCATACATAACAGTAAATGAAAGTTTAGTATGTTGTCGGGATTAAACCAAACACTTCAGTCAACCCACACTTGGACCCTGAAATGTGTGAAGATCTAAATATTTATCAAAGTCAGATTTATAATATGTGATGTATAACTGTGTGTTAAGGGGGAAAAACAAAAACAAGTGTTTTATAATATTAAACACAAAACTCTGGGTCTAACGACCCAGGACCATGACAGTAACGTCATACAAAACCTAAAAT